TTTAAACCGGTTACATACTTACTTGAGACCTTCAAATTATTGTACTTACAGAGACATTACCTAAGTATCCTTTCAGTTACATTTTAAAATAGGTTATTTTATGATTAATTTTGTAAGCAAATGTTTCTGTGGCTTATCAAGACTAGTTGCCTAAAGGAATTATTGAAAATTTCTATAGAACAGTGTTAACTGTTTTAATGATTCATTGTTGAAAAAATCTGAGGTGGAAAATAGCAAGTCTCCATAAAGTCTGTATGTGTTTCCCTTCTCTTAAATGTTTTTTGTATAACTAGTTAGAGGTCAGCTCAGCCTTGGTGGTGTATCTGTATTAGGCACTTGAAAGCATATTTTCTCCCTACCATCAGCCTCTCCTGAAGCTAGTTGTAATGTACTGCGAGGACTCTGCCTTAAAAGCAGGGATGAGAGATTTCAAGTTCTTCTGGTGTTTCTCCTTCCTTTGCATTAATTGTGTGCAAGTGTCACTGGAGGAGTTGCTTTATAAGGTATGAACCCCTATAACATGGGTGAATGTGAATTTACCAGCTCAGTTGTGATGTTCAAACTCCAAAACCTCTTGAAAGCTTTAGAAATCTTGAAGAATCTCCCTGGCTGGGGGCCAGAGAATAGTTTTTCCCTCCTACATAAATTGTTTTTTATATTATACAGTCTGACTGGTGTACAAAGAAGAGGAAATATACACTGTTCATCTATTCTGAGAAGGAGGGAAGAGAGTGTGTATGAGTGACCTTGTGCTGCTGAGCCACCACAGCAAGTTTCTGGGTAATAAATTTCTGTGAGTGGTTGTGGAAGTAGGATGTTGGCACAATGCAAGAGTAGCACAAACTGACACTACTAATAATTTCTTGTGAACCACAAAGTGAAAGGAGGCTGGGAAGAAAGAAAGCATAGGAAAAATGAGAGGAATAAACAAGCTAAAAACTTAAAGGTTAGCAGATGGTATTTAATGTATCTAATACACAGGCATTCAGTGCCTGCTTTGTGTTTCTGCAGCAGCTGCCTGAGCATATATGGCATGTGAAGTTAGGAATAGGGGCCTATTTATGCAGTATTTACTGAAATAAAAACCCTGCTTATGCGAAGCCTGAAAAATCAAACCTATTTTTGTGTATAGAATCATAGAATCATCAACATTGGAAGGGACTTTAAAGATCATCTAGTTCCACCCCCTCTGCCATGAGCAGGGAACCTACCACTAGATCAGATTGCACAAAACCTCATCCAGTCTGGCCTTACAAACCTCCAGGGATGGGGCATCAACAACCTCCCTGGGCAACCCATTCTAGTTCCTCAACAGCCTTATAGTGGATAATTTCTTCCTCATATCTAACCTAAATCTCCCCTCTCTCAGTTTAAAACCTTTACCCCATATACTATCACTATCTTCTCTGAAAAGTCCCTCCCCAGCTTTCCTGTAGGCCCCTTTCAAGTACTGGAAGGCTGCTATAAGGTCTGCTTGGAGCCTTCTCTTTTCCAGGCTGAACAGCCCCAACTTTCTCAGCCTGTCTTCATAGCAGAGGTGCTCCAGGCCTTTAATCATCTTCGTGGCCCTTCTCTGGACCCTCTCCAACAAGTCTATATCTTTCCTGTGCTGAGGGCACCAGAACTGTACACAGTATTCCAGGTGGGGTCTCACCAGAGCAAAGTAGAGGGGCAGAATCACCTCCCTGGCCCTGCTGGCCACACTTCTTTTGATGCAGCCCAGGATGCAGTTGCTCTCTGGGCTCCAGCACACACTGGTGGCTCATGTTGAGCTTCTCATCTACTACCACGCTCAACTCCTTCTGCTCAGGACTGCTCACAATCCATTCTCTCCCCAGCATGTATTTATGGCTGGGGTTGTGCTGACTCAGGTGCAGGACCTTGCACTTGCCCTTGTTGAACTTCATGAGGTTGGCATTGGGCCACCTCTCCAGCCAGTCAAGGTCCCTCTGGATGGATCCCTGCCCTCTAGGTTGTCAACCACACCACACATCTTGGTATCATCAGCAAACTTGCTAAGGATACACTCAATCCCACTGTCCATGTCTCCAACAAAGATGTTAAACAGCACTGGTCCCCGTACTGACCCCTGAGGGACACCACTCGTCACCTGTGTCCATTTGGGCATTGAGCCATTAACCACAATGTTTTTTATGTTTTATTTTTTAAATATATTTGAGACTGAAAATACGTAACTGAAGAGCTCTGTGTATGTGCCACATGCACATAATGAGATTCATGATATATTATAAGTTTTATTCAAATTCCTTAGGAAAAGACAAAATAGAAAAACCCCACAAAGCAGGATGGCTTTGAAGTTGGTTTGGTGTGTTTTTTTTTCCTTCTTCAAGCGGGCCTCACAGTCATCTTCTCTACTTGTTTGCTGTAGGCATTAGGTTTAATGACAGTAGAGGTTAAAAAAGAGAAAATCCCACCTGGCAGTCATTTATTCTTAGTTGGGCTCCTAGTTAAGCAAAAGACAAACTAATCCTGTCACGGAAATCCTTTATTTTCTGTGATTGTGTTCTGCGGAAGGATGCGACTGTAGATTCTGTAAAGGTTTGCAAATTACAGTGTGGGTTGTTTCCCCCCAGTTTTTATTCAATTTTACTGTGATTTTGGGAGTGGAGGACTTTTGTTTCCAATGCAAATCTAATAGAAAGCTGCACCCCTGGAAAGATGTAAAATTGTGAATGTGTGTCACAAGACAGCTTAGCAGGGGAAGTCTGGAAGAACAGCCAAGCCATTTCTCTGTCTCCTCAGCTCTCTTGCTGAGATGTGAACATAGAATTGCTTGGGTTGGAAGGGACATTAAGGATCATCTAGTTAATGGAATCATAGAATGGTTCAGTTCAGAAGAGGTATTTAAAGGTTATCTAGTCCAACCCCCCTGCAGTGAGCAGGGACATCTTCAAATAGATTAGGTTGCTCAGAGCCACAGCCAACCTGACCATGAATGCTTCCAGGGATGGAGCTTCTGCAACCTCACTGGCAACCTTTTCCAGTGTTTCAGCACCCTAATTGTAAAAAATGTCTTCCTCATATCTAGTCTAAATATACTCTCTTTCAGTTTAAAACCACTACCCCTTGCCCTTTCACTACAGGCCCTGCTAAAATGTTTGTCCCCATCTTTCTTACAGGCCTCCTTCAGGTACTAGAATGCTACTCTAAGGTCTCCCTGGAGCCTTCTCTTCTCCAGGCTGAACAATCCCAACTCTCTCAGCCTGTGTTCATAGGAGAGGTGTTCTATCCCTCTAATCCTTTTTGTGAGCCTCCTCTGGACTCATTCCAACAGGTCCATGTCTTTTCTGTGCTGAGGACTCCAAAGCTGGCCGCAGTACTCCAGGTGAGGTCTCAGAAGAGCAGAGTAGAGGGGAAAAATCACCTGCCTTGACCTGCTGCCCATGCTTCTTTTGATGCAGAACAGGATACAGTTGGCTTTCTGGGCTGTAAACACACGTTACTGGCTCAAGTTGAGGTTCTCTTCAATCATCACCCCGAAGTCCTCTTCAGGGTTGCTCTCAATCCATTCTCCACCCAGCCTGTGTTTGAACATCCTTAGCTTTCATTAGGAAAGCAGTTTCTGACCAGTGAAATAATTGTTCGGTTAACATATGGCAGTTTAGGTCTCCTTCCACATCTCTGACTGTTGTTTGGAAGCATAATAGCACGTGTTGAATAATATGTATTCCTTTCATAATAGTAGTTACCTGCCCTGATTAGAAGAAAGCAAGGGGACTGGCAAGTCAATAATTTCTCTGTTCCATAAACATGGTTTTATCACATTAAGGTAATGTTATTTGGATAGAGAATTGTCTGTTAGCCTGGCTGTAATGCTATTAGATAAAATGCATTCATGTCACTAATGCCTGTTCTCCAGTCTACAGAGCAATGTCATTCAAAAGCTTCACACAATTAATTTTGCTAATGATGACTGAAAATGCACATTACTTGTTCCCAGCTGTTTTTGGTCACTGGTTGAGGCCAGTAAGGGACCTAAATTGAAATGATTTCAAAAGTGTTTCAAAGACTGGCCTGGTTTTGATCTTCCCTGAGGTGAATGAGAATTCGTGGTGTTTTGGGGTTTTCCTGAATCTAGGAGAGCATCCCAGCTGTCTCATTCTTCCAGCACAGATACTAATATGGCACAGATATCCTCTGAGAAGGGGACAAGTTTCACTTACAAAGAATAACCCCTCACATCAGACCTTTGCTTTGGTGCAGAAGTTTTGTGGTATCTTTGACAAAAACCAAATGTGTTCCTTAATTCCTCCTCTTTTCTGTCTTGACAAACAGCTCTCTTTAGTCCCGTGGACCCCTGAGCTCATACATGGGTTGCTAGATAACTGTTCTTGGCTCTGCACTCTTTGCCAGCCACCTGCCTTTTCTTTGGTCTGAGGATGGATGTTCTTCATCCAGTCTGAGCTATTGACTTTGCTCTGGATGATTGATACATCCCTGTGAAATGCATCAGCTGTAGCAGGACATGTGACTGTTACTTCTGACAAGTTAAACAGACCTGATTGCAGGTGTCCTGTCCAAAATGCTTTCTTGTCTATAACTGTGCAATCTTCAGAGGAGCATGAGGACCTATATGTGGCAGAAATAGGTGTTTTTATTTCTCCCACAAGCTTGTTCTGTTCTTCATGTCATTTTGTTGTACTGTTGTAAACCATGAATCCTAATTTTGCACATATTTTGATAAAATAATTTGTAGCATTGAATTTACAGTTTTTGGATAAAGAAACTCCTTTTTCTCGTATTGCTGTGGAAAATTTTCTTTCCCTCCTTCCATTCAGTTTCCTTATTTCCCTTCTCTCCCCTGTCCCCCCACCTTGCTGTACCAAGATATGTGAGTATGTGGTTTATGGTATGTCAGCTTCATTACAACCCTATCTTTGCCATGCACTGTTGAGGTTACTGCTGGTTTTCAACGTGTTACTAATCTGTGACTTTGCATATACAACAGGTATTCACATATTTCTTGTTCTTTATTCTAGAGATGGTGATGTTGCTGGAATGGTGGTCAGGCACCGATTGCACCCTGTACACTGACCCCGAGAGTTACCACAAGTATGGGAAGGAGAATGCCATCGTAATCCTTAATCACAACTTTGAAATCGACTTTCTCTGTGGTTGGAACTTTTGTGAAAGATTTGGGGTTTTGGGGGTGAGTTTTGTTTAGCATTTCAACTTTCTCATCTTAGATGCAGGGAAAAAAGCAAATAAAATTCTTTGTGGTTTTCAAAGTTAACAGACTTGTGCTTGAAGTTCCTTCAACCACTATTCAGACTTAAAGTGGTGAACCTAAGGCAATGCAGTGCAAGTATGTGAAATACTGAGACAGGATTGCTTGGGCATTCACAGAGATTTTAAACAATTGCAGTTAAATCTGATGAAGGAGATTTATTTTTTTTAACCTGTGGAAGTCATTACAGTTGTTTCTGTGTGCTTGCTAGGTAACTATTACGGTTCATTGTGCTACAAAAAAATGAGCTCTTCTATAATTCATTCCCAGTAAATTGTAGAACTGGTTTGAGCTCTCAAGTGTAGTCTTAAAAATCCACAGCTAGTGTTTGAAGGATGTAGTCTCTCTCTTGGAATGAAAGAGCTGCCATCTCAAGTGAAAGCAATTGCTATGTTATAGCTAGTAAGAGATGGGGGAGGAATGAGTTATCTATAGTTGAATGTACTATTACATTAGGCTAGGAGAACATGTGCAGTTGTATTTTTGTTTCCCCCATCAGCTCATGGGAATGATTCAAGCCCCCCTCCTAAGCCAGCTTGACTTAGTTCTGTGATGGCGACGACATTCGCAACCTAAAAGGGAGCTGGATGACAGTTTCTTCCTCCTAAGCAAGCAGACTGATACCTCATTTTGGTGGTCTTCTTCAGCATCATCTTCCAGCTTTGCTACTGGTCAGTGTCAAAAGTCCTGACCTAGGATTGTGTGATTCTTATGATTTTTTGTTTAGACTTAGCATTTTCTGGACATTTAGGCACCACTCTAGTCACTTTAAAATTATAATGACAGTCTGCTTAAAAATAAATAAATAAAAAGGGGCCTTACAACTGAAAGAAAATTAACCTAAGCATTACAGGTCCCACATGTTGCCAAAATGGCTGTCATGTCATGTCTAAGACTTGAGCACAGAGCTGGAGGATAGCTATGAGAGAGCAGAAGATACAGGCAGGTGTACATATCAAGAACATTCTTCCTTCTATATGCTCATTACTATAGGCTATCTGGTGTTTATTTTTTTAGATGTTTACAGTTATTACTCAGTTTATACTTTTGCTGATCTTAGGATTCTTTTAGGAACTGGTACATATTTATTTATTTCAACTATTCCAGTCTTGAGTAATGTACTGTGGCTTTACTTCCCAGAAACCATTTCAGGAAGAAATAGTTCCTGTGTGCTCTCATTTGCATAGATGTCTTTATACAGTGAAGCAGTGCATTTCTCTGTTGGGGCAACCAGTCGAGGTTCATCTTAAGCTACAGTACAAAAAATCCCATGAAAATGACAGTTTCCTGATAGGATTGTTCATATTGATATACTAGTACTTGGCTTGGGGCAGCGCAGGAGTGGATGAATGTGTGGGGATGGGGTTGTAGCTTGGTTTGACGTTTTGCTGCTGTACGTTTCCAGTGTGTGAATCTTCAGGTTTTGGTGTGGCAGCGCAATTAGGAATGTAAGAACCATTATGCTGAGGGCTGATGTTTGGGAAAAGCAGTTACAAGAAAAAGGCAAGTGCTCAGAGAGATTTCTAAGTGGTGTCCCAGCCTCCAGCTTTTTGTGGCTCAGTGACTTTGTGAGTTGGTGGGGTTTTATATTTAATGTTTAATTTTGTACTCCATGAAGTTTCTGTGCAAACTTTAGGTATCTGCCAGCATCTTACTAAGCTGGTCTTGCATCCACTGCTGCTGAAAAGGAGATCTCGCACATACAATCCTATCTCCTGCATCTGTTCTGGTGGCATGTTTCAGACACCCTTGCTTCCTTGCTTGCCTGCCTGTCTGCCTGCCTTCTTCCTTGCCTTCCCTCTTGCCTTCTTGCCTTCCCTTCCCTCTTGCCTTCTTGCCTTGTCTTCCCTTTTGCCTTCGTGCCTTCCTGCCTGCCTTCCTTCCTGCCTTCACTAACTCAGTGAAGAAAGGAGAGACCACTGAGGAGGGAGAGGAGGGAGAAGGTGAAGACAGCTGAAGACTGAACAAATTGGGATTGGTGATGCTTGGCTGCAGTAGGCAGACAGAATGGCTTTGTTGTGATACCCAGCTGTACCCTGCAGCCCTGACAGACAATGGCACCTGAACAGTGTCACAAGCATATGTCCAGACACTCAGTGTTTTACAGTTTGAACTTTTATTAAATGAAGCTGTTAAATGCTGTAATTTTTAGCTTGGTTTTGCTCATTTAAAAACCAAATTCAACTTCCTTAAACCTGTCTTGCCCCTTCTGGTCCCAAAAGAAAAAATTATTTCCCTTTTCCTCTTTTTTTTTAATCATGATATGAAAGCTGGCCCTTGTGGTCTTAGATTCAACATTCAGTCTGAATTGTTCTGCTCCTTTTTTTGGTCTCTCTTCTGTACTGGCTTTCTTTTCTTATATCCAAATTGCTGTAGTCCAGCTAGGCTTATAATGCTCTGTCAATGTGGTTTTTGTTTTATCAATGTGATTTTGTTTTTATCAATGTGGTTTTAGGTATTTTGCTGTTTTTGGGGAATGGAGTAGGAGTGGCAACAGCTTTTGCATTAGATTGATGAACCTGAGTCCTCTTTTAATAACTCAGTTATTGGATGATGTTCTCTGCTTTAATTAAGTTTTTGAGTAGCTGTGGAAGAAAATCAGCAAAAAGAACCAAAGAAAGTGCTAAGAATCTGACATGTGTATGGGGGAGGAGCAAAAAGAAAAATAAAATTACAATTCCAACATTTAATATACTTTTACATTTTCTTTCTTTAATATGATAGTTTTGGGGAACCTATTAATAATGCTAGAGTGTACTGTGTGGACAGTGCGGAGTGAGAGCCAGAGGAGAAAGCCACATGAAGAGGCAATTCTGTGTTCACTTTTACTTTTGTAAGTTATTGTAGCCACTGAGCTGGCCATATAAATCAAGATTTTCTATCAGTGACAGCATAGCTGTGCATAAGCTTGTAATTATTTTTTTTGTAATGTGATATTAGTGTAGTCATTCACAAAAGGAGAGCTTCATGTGCATTTCCATCTGATCAAACTTGGCCAAAATAAATTAACCTAGATTACAATGCTATTACTGCAGGCAAGTCGTCCCCATCCAGCAGTAATTGCATTAGATGTCTGTTGGAATTACATAGTTCTGAGCACTGAAAATGTTTGGCTGCCTTCAAGAAGACAGCTTACATGGAATAAATCAGCATTCTTTAATGAAATTTATTATGTTGACCAAGCTGAATTTGGAGGTTAGAAGTGATACCTATTTACCAAAGCACTTTGGTAAGGAAAAGCCAGTGGCCAAAGTCAACTAGAAAGCTGCATTTTCCCCCTCAGGTATTTGCACAGAAGCTGTTCATGGGTAGATGACAGAAGCTGTGCATGGGTAGATGACTGAAACTGGATAGACTGTAGCTGTACTTATCGTAAGAGAGAGATGGTAGCTAGCTTCTGAGGGTAGCCCTAGTGTATTCATCCCACATGAGAGCAGTCTTGCTAGTTTAATGCACTGAACAGTTTCTCTAATTAGTTCTGTGTCATTAGCTTTCCTTCTTACTGCCAGGATAGATGGGGTGCACAAAATAGCGTAAGGTGGCTTAGTTTCTTTTTATAAGGAGTCTTATACTTGCATGTCTAAAAAAGTGCTTTTAATTTTAAAAAATGAATCAGAAAATTAATAAGAACATGCCCTTGGGAATTCAAGCATCTATTTTGCTTTTGTGATTATACCTGCACTGCCTGACACCTTAGCTCACAGCATCATTTCTTTGTTTCACTTGGGGGGGGGGAAATGGTGGCAACTTCTTTCCTGCCCCTGTTTAATTCGTATGCTTTTTAAAATATTCAAAACCTTAAAACATAGATGTGGTGAAGTAGTTACTTCAGCCTGCTCACTGAAATAGGATTTCAGTCTTTTAAAGTCTGTGCGGGAAGATTTTTAGATTTCTTTTCTGACTCTGCTCTGGAGGCCTTGTACAGCCCATGCAGAGCCCACATTTGTCTTACAGTCTTATAATACTGAACTCTCACTGCAAATACATTTTAAGAGCATGAGTTTTTTTCTGGTTTGGGGGGATGGCACTGTTGCTTTTTGCCTCATTGTGCAGTGGCTTGAGCTAGGCTGTGGCTAAATGCTGCCCTGGTTGTGACTGAGGTGGGCAGAAGTTCCCTAAGGTTTTAGCCCTCCCTGCTCTGCTAGAAACACTGCATCTCTTGGGGTTTATTGAGTCAAGGCTATGGCTCAGCAATCTTCCTCAGGCATGCTCAGTGCAGAGGAATGGAAGAGCATATGAACTGGTCTGGGTTCATGGCCTACAACAAAAAAATGCTCTTTGGAGGCTAATTTTAAAGATTTGTGCTACAGCTATTTATATTTATGTTGGAAATAAGAAAATTACATGTATTAAGAGTAACTGAGAAAAGGAAAAATGTAGTTTGGGGAAAAAAAAAAAAAAAAAGCTAAGGAAAGTGGTTGAAAGAGAGCCTGTTTCTTGTTCGGGGAGCTGGAAGAGGAGGCTGGGCTCAGCATGGCTGCTGACATGCAGCAGAGCCTAACCTGCAACATGGCTTGAAATTGAAATGGCAAAAAGTGTGCCAAATCCTATTACCAATCCTCGTGGGAGACCTGGGGTTAGTGTCCTAATGTGGGCCCATCACTGAAATTCTTCAGTGATCAAGATGAAGCACTTCATTACAGATTGTAATATCATTTGAGAGAGATGTTTCCTAGATTCTTAAAAGACAGAACTGTGTCATGTCATCTTCTGTTTTACTTCTCTGTAACAGCTGCTAGTGAAGCTATGTGATGTGCACTTGCCTTCCACTCTTCTAAGCTTTTAGATAGCTTAATTATTTAAGGTGTTTTTCCTCTCAAGGAGGAAGAGCAGATGAGAGAAATGAGCTGAGATGAAGAATGAGTCCTATTCCTTAGTAATAAAATTAACAACAGTGAACAAAAAGTAAAAGCAAGTCATTTCCATGGATGGTGGTTTCTACCAATAAATAATTCTTACCAGTCAAATGCAATGTCCTGGAACCCATCTGCAGTGCATTTTGATGGGATAGCTTATAATGATATCACAGATAGAAACTGGACTATCGAAACTGGACTGTAATTGCTCCATCTTTCCTCTAAGAAAATATCACTGTTTTTCAGGAAATACTGAAGCAACAATTTCTACACGCGCACACACACACATATATGCCATTTTATTCATTAAATAATGAAGTGAAACACAAGACAGCTCACCAAGGCAGGCTGGCTTGGAAGACAGGAAAGGAGCAAGCAGACTCAGTTCTCCTGCCCAAAGAGATTTCAGTCTGAGATGATCATTGCGTTACGTTCTGGAGTAGGATTTGAGATTTGAAACCTGTTGATAGACTTCTTGTGAAGAGTCAGGACAAATCACTACTTCAGTGTCTGTCACACCTGCAAGACAGGAACAGTGTTGGTTTTTTTCTTCTTTTCACTCCAGAAACATACTTTGAAGAGAAATTAACTAGTATAAATACTTCTGCCCTTCCATAAACAAACTAAAACATAAATTAAGTATTTTTATTGCTTCAGTTGTTTCTAGGGTTGTTTAAGGATTCTTGTGTTGATAAATCATGGGTATGCATCAATACATTGTCATGCAGCAATGTCTCTGTGACTCTGCTACTCATTGAGAATAGGTGTTTTTTTTCCATGATGAGGTGTCCCAGCTTTGAGAAGTAATAGCTGCAAGATATCTTAAAGGAACCTGAGTTGCTACTGCCCAGGGTCTGCTTGAGTTAATAATTTTGTTTTATGTGGTTTGAGTCTTTTTCATGGATTCCTCAGGGTTTGAAGGAATTTGACTTGTATCCTACATTTCAGGGTTTGAATAGGATAGAAACACATGCAAACATGCATATATATATATATATATTTAACTCTGCAGATAACTAACATTAGATTTTACTATTCTGTTGTATGAGAAAAACTTCGACTTCATTTTGATTTTACACTGGTGTTTAAACTGGGACTGTTCATTATGAACCAGTATATTAGTGTCTAACTGGGCATGTGTCATACCCACAGAGAACTCTGTAGTTGTGTAACTCTGTTTTACTTCCTTTGACTCTTGCAGAGTTCCAAAGTGCTTGCAAAGAAGGAGCTCTCCTACATGCCTATCATTGGCTGGATGTGGTATTTCCTGGAGATAGTCTTCTGCAAGCGTAAGTGGGAGGAAGATC